GTCGTTCAGTTGATCAGATGTCTCCTACATCCACAGATGTTCCCGAGAAGGAGATGATGAGTGTTCCCCGTGATGAGTATGGGAGGTTTGTCCAATCCTCATTTCAGCAGAACATGGCTACTTTCGCACACTTAGATATGGTTTATTTGGCATCCACACCCAATCCCTAGATTATTACCTTGGAGCCTCCAATCACATGACTGGAACTTCAGGTGTGTTTTCTTCCCCCTCTCATTGTTCAACATCACAATCTATTACCCTTGCTAATGGTTTCACATCTTCCATTTGTGGTGTTGGCAATGTTAACATGACCCCTTATCTTTATCCTTAGTTTTGTATGTTCCTAAATTTCCGTTTAACCTTATGTCTGTTAGTAAGTTGACAAAGTCACTCAATTACTCTATTACTTCTTACCCTTCTTCGTGTGTTTTTCAGTATCTCAAGACGGGGATGAAGATTGGTGGAGGGCATGAAGCTGGTGGATTGTATTATCTTGACGGTGGTGGAAGAACATCAACAACTCTCCAGTCATCTCTCTCTCCTCTCTAGTGGCACTGTCGATTTGGTCATCCTTCGTTGAAAGTTTTTGAAATCTTTGGTTCCTTTGTTGAGTCAACTTTCTGTTTTATATTGTGAGTCATGTCAGTTGGAGAAACATCATCGTGTTCCCTTTAATCCTAGGGTTGATAACCGTGTGTAGAGTCATTTTTCTTTAGTTCATTCAGATGTTTGGGGTCCTTATAAAGTGATGTCATACAATGGATATAGATATTTTGTCATTTTTGTTGATGATTATTCAAGGATGACGTGACTCTATTTAATGAAAGAAATGAGTGAGTTGTTTACTATCTTCCAAAAATTTTATGCTGAGATTCGCAACCAATTTGGTGTTCACATTAAAATTTTTCGTTCCGATAATGGTCATGAATATTTCTCTTCATCATTTCAAGAATACTTGGACCAACATGGCATTATACATCAGACCTCATGTACCTACACCCCACAACAAAATGGGGTGGCTGAGAGAAAGAATCGTCATATTTTGGAAACAGCTCGATCCCTCATGCATCACATGAATGTTCCCAAACCCTTTTGGAGTGATGCGGTGCTTACTTCTTGCTTCTTGATTAATCGAATGCCATCTATCCTTGATGGTCATTCCCCATTCACTATCTTGTTTCCCACCTTGTCTCTGTTTCCTTTTTCTCCTCGGGTTTTTGGGTATGTTTGCTTCGTCCATAATCTGGGCCCCTGGAAGGACAAGTTAGATGTACGATCCATTAAGTGCATCTTCCTTGGCTACTCCTGGACCCAGAAAGGGTATAAGTGTTATCATCCTAGTTCTCGATGTTCCTTTGTGTGTGTTGATATTACCTTCTTTGAATCTACTACATTTTTCTTGGAGTCCGATGATGCTTCTTCCTCCTCATCACCTCCTCTTCAACTTCCAGTTGCAGATTCTGTTCCCCTTGTTCTAGCTGTGACCAAGTCCTTGCCTCCAGTGCCACTACCTGTTGAACGGCCACCTATCCGTCAAGTGTATACACATCGCCCAAATGTACCGGCTGCTACTCCTCCAGTTCCATCAACGTCGACAAATCTAGCAGTTGTCTCCACACCAGCCCCAAACCCAATATCTGATCTTGATATTTCCATTGCCTTGTAGAAAAGTAAACGCACTTGTACCGTTCATCCTATTTCTAATTATGTTTCACTCACTCACCTTTTCGCTTCCCATCGCCAGTTTATCTCTTTGTTATACTCAGTTGTTGTCCCTAAGGATGTCTAGGAAACCCTTGCCTCTCCAAGGTGGTGCCGTGCAATGGAAGAACTCTCAGCTCTAACTCATAATGATACATGGGACCTCACCACTCTTCCTCCTAGGAAGCAGGCTATCGGTTGTAAGTGGGTTTATACTATTAAGTATTTACCTGATGGTACTATAGAACGCCTGAAAGCTCAATTGGTTGCAAAAGGGTACTTCCAAACCTATGGTATTGACTACACAAAGACCTTCTCCCTAGTTGCTAAGATAAGCTTGGTTCGTGTTGTGATATCTCTTACTACTATGTATGATTGGCCCCTCTATCAGCTTGATATCAAGAATGCTTTCTTGCATGGTGATTTGCTCAATGAGGTCTATATGGAGCAACCACCGGGGTTTGTTGCTCAGGGGGAGAATGGTAAGGTATGCAGACTAAAGAAGGCTATTTATGGGCTTAAACAGTCTCCTTGAGCATGGTTTGGTAGGTTCAGTGAGGTGGTAAAAAAGTTTGGTATGAAACAGTGCCAAGTTGATCATTCCGTCTTCAGTTATGACTCTCAGGTAGGAAAAATCCTACTGGTGGTGTATGTAGATGATATTGTTATTACCGGGAATGATAAAATGGGCATTGACAGGTTGAAGACTTTTCTACAGGAACATTTTCAAACAAAAGACCTTGGTAAATTGAAATATTTTTGGGGATAGAAGTAGCAAGGTCTAAGCATGGTATTAATTTGTGTCAGAGGAAATATGTGCTTGATTTGCTGGAGGAAACATGTTTGTTAGGTGCTAAACCAACTGAAACACCTATGGAAACAAATACTAAGCTAAGCAATGATATGGGTGAAGTGTTTGAAGACCCTGTCAGATACCGACGACTTGTAGGTAAATTGAACTACCTAACCATTACTCGGCCAGATATTTCATCTGCGGTTAGTGTGGCAAGTCAGTTCATGCATAAACCTTCGGTTCCTCATTGAAATGTGGTTCTAAGAATTGTGAGGTATTTAAAAGGGGCTCCTGGTCGTGGTTTGATATACAAAAGTGGTGGAAAACTTGAAATAGAAGGATATACTAATGATGACTGAGCCGGTTCTATGTTTGATAGGAGGTCTACCACAGGCTATTGCACTTTTCTTGGGGGTACTCTGGTGACATGGAAAATTAAGAAGCAGACAATCGTGGCGACAAACAATGTAGTGGCAGAATATAGAGCTATGACACATACTACTTGTGAATTAGTGTGGATAAGGAACCTTCTACAGGAGATATGATACAATGTTAACATTCCAATGAAGCTCTATTGTGACAATTAGGCTGCAGTTCATATTTCTTCTAATCCAGTGTTTCATGAAAGAACTAAGCACATAGAGGTTGACTATCACTTTGTGAGAGAGAAGGTGCTGAATGGAGTGATAGACACTGCATATTTTAACACAGGGAACCAGTGGGCAGACTTATTTATTAAAGGGTTGAGTCGGGGAAGAGTGGACTACATATGTAACAAGCTGGGATTATATGACATATAATCACTAGCTTGAGGGGGAATGTTAATGTAGGGGTATTTCTGTCTTTATACTTATGTTGAGGTTGCCAATCTATAATATAATATTAGAACTAGTGTCCCTCACTTAAGTAAGGACACACGTGTCTTTTCCATTATACTAGTAATATAAAACATGTCTGGCCAAATGAGAGAGGTATTTTCTCTCATTCGAACCAGACTTTTCTTCTTCTCTCTCTCTCTCTCTCTTCTTTATTCTTCTCTCTTCTTGGCTGTTATCAGACTAACAGAACTCAAGGGCAGGCCGAATCATAATATACATGAATGTCATTCTACTTTTCGGATTTAAATTCAAAACCCATGAAAGAAGAAGCATCTCTCCATTTGGAAAGTTAACGTTGAAATGATTTGAACCAACCACTTTCAAGAAAGATGAACTTGTAAAGTAAGCACTTCAAAATAAAATGACTAAAAAGGTAAACAAAGTGCTGAGGAATTTGACGAGTACTCATGGATAATGACGAGTGCAACTGCAATGTGAGAGGAGTCAGGATTCTCGAAGGAATTCTATTGTTTGAAAGATTAAGAAACGTATCGTTTAATTAATTAATGGAAAAGGTTCAGGAAGCAAGGGTTATTATGGGCAGGCTGTACTCGAACTATTCCTTCGTGGGGTTGGTTCAAATTCAATTCTGATATATACCCAGATTGATCGAAGTTGGAGGATAAATTTGATTGAGAAGGATAATGAGATGATTTCACTTCCGTTTTCTTTTCGGATTTGCCATCTCGATTATCCATAATGGATGCCACTGTTAGACAAACTATTATGGATTGTGCAGGTTCCCTCAGTCCTCACATCATAGCACGTTGCAGCTGTACATAGAGAACATCTACTGTACTTGTATGCTTTCATTTATGGGAGATGTTCCCAATGCACAGCTGCAAATGCCGTGAGGTGGGTGTGAGGAGGATTCGGCTACATTTGGAGGGATGAAGTGGTGCTTTCTCGCCCCAATCGGCTATTTGGGTTGATGAGGTTTTATTTATTAATGCAACTTAATTTTAACATTTATATGTTTCAATGCCTACTTTGCCAGGACCTTTCTCAAACTGTAACAAATACCATTAGATAATTTTAACATGTTTCTAGCATCTAAGTCTTCACTCATCAGTTATTGATTTGTGACCTTCGTGCTCCAACAGACAATTGATAATTTGGACGGTTGGACCCACTTAAATCACTATAAAATGGATACTCATCCTCAACTTCAGTACACTCCCCAACAATCCCAGGTTACCACGGTGGTTTCAGTCGTGAAGCTGCTGGAGTTTCTGCACTCTGCTTTCTCTATCACTCACCTCATCTTGACTAATGCTTAATACATCTGTCATGGGCCGTCCACATGGTTATCAATATAGAACATGGTCAAAACTCTAAACCTCTTTCACGTCCCACAACTTAAGGCAGTTTCAACAAGCATCATCTTCAAGGTATAGTGAAGACAATGGTTTGGTGCATGCTGCTGAGATGATCACCATGATGCTGGTATAAAGAGCCACCATGGAATATATCTATAGACATGGAACAAACAAAGTACAAGGCCATGTTCCTAAGAGCGTCCAAGGTCAATAAGTTTACATAGCATGTCTAACCCTGCTCTTCCAGTTGTACTTTCAATGTGTTGTAAGAACTGAGTGTGCATCTATGAGTATGTATAATGAGTACAATAAATGCAAAGAAGATGAAGAAGAATCCCTTTCAGAAGTCATATAAATATGTACTTTATTACATTATGGAAACCCCTATTTAACAAATAAACCAACAACAAATCGCCCCATGAAAAATGACGGGGGAGCTAATCCTAGCTTCCATGATCAGCTCAAAGTAAAAACAGTAGAAACTATCTCCAAAGGGATTAAAACCTCCCACAAACATGAGCTGCAGTCATTTTTACACAGGAAAAGCCCCTGTCATGCGAATATGATTCAGGGTGTTACGCAGTCCATACCTATTGACAGCTGCATTGGCAATTCTGAATCCTTCCCCATAGGCTGTGGATGTATCCTGAGCAATCTGATTCATGAAAAATTCACCTAGCTTCTTCTCTGTTTCAGATTTTCCACCTTTTTTGGATGATGATGATGTTGATGATGATGAAGCAGTTGATGTAGATGGCATGTTTCTTGACTCAGGCATGACCTCGGACTCAAGCCACATGTAAGAGAGCACTTGACAGATGCCTTCCTCCACCGCTGGGCTTAGATTACGGTATCCTGCATTAATTTAAAACAAAATCCATGAAAAATAGAAACCAAGAAACTGTTTCCAAGCACAGAAAGGTAGAAAGTAGAAACAGTACCTTTGAGGCGTAACCACCCATGCATCAACTCATGAGCAAGAATGGAACCAGTTAGTAATCTGCATGCAGTAGAGGTACCAAACTGTAACGGCTTCTGTCAAAAGCTGTCATTTTCTATGAATAGATGCTTGTACCTTGTCAATGGAACTATAAGACCACGGAAAATTACAAAAGACCAATGTATTTATGGAACCTTTTTTCGTTTTCGTGTTCTTGAACAAATAAAAGAGATCCTCGTACAAAACAAAATTGGGTAGGCCTTGATGACTATAACTTCCTCAAGTCATCTTGCAATCTAGTTGGGAGAAAATAAAGTAACAAAACTAAATCAAGTTTTCCAGAAAATGCTACAATTGCAATTGTATGCAAGACATACAATTCGAATGTTATTAAATTCATGTGCCATGCCTCATGGTATATGATTAAAAACTGTATACAAGACAGAGAACCCTGTGTACACTCAATAATGGCACCAGGCAAATGCATCACTCAGTAATCTTGGACTAACACCTCAAGCCATACCTTTTTCAGCTCAGCAATCGTGCCAAGACAACCTAGTCTAATGTGTCACTAAGACAGCAAGAGAAACCTGAGTACAGGGAATCCTATCCATGTCATCTTAGTAATTGCACCAAGCCATTTGATCCAACCGGGGCCCATTTCAGGAATCTATAGGGTTGAACCATTCAATCTAGACAGTTCGTCAGCTAACTGTCCAATTGAAACATATTCATGTATGTTTTTAGTATGCAAAATAGGTGTGCGTGGTAACTTTTCCTTTTTATCAATATTTGTATTTCTACAGAGATTATTATGAGTTATGGATCCAAGGTTTAGCCAGGAAGTTGAACCATTAACCTAACCCTTTAACATGTCAACTAATGACCCATGTATGAAAACATTGAAACCTGCTTTAAAAACTACCCTAATTTACTTGCACATTTAAGAATTATTCATTGGGGGGTCATCATATAATCTCAATTCAAAAAGCACAACATGCATGTCTACTATGCTAACCTCGATTATATGGATTTGCTACTTTAAGAGAGGAAACTACACCCCAAACTTCAAACACATGATGATTAAAGGGTCCAATAGACAAAACTGTTTTAAGCTACTACCTTGGGAGGCCATACAAAACGAGAATCGCTGTAACCTCGCATTTTCGGGTCAGCTTCTGTTGTTGTGTTTTCATACCTAAAAGGCGGTTACCCCCAATTCTTGGCCTTCTTTGTATCTGCAGATGTTAAGAAGAAAAAAAAAAGTACATTGATAAAGATTCACTAATTTATTCAATGAAGATAAAATATATTTTAGTAAATAGATATCTGATCATACACTGCTAACAGTTTGCTCCTCAGAAAGGCATAAACCCCTTGTCTCTGGCATGTGATGATAGCCCTGCAAACAAGAGCACATTTTGAGTAAAGAGGGGGCTATTCCATAAAAGGAATATGTGAAGAATAGAGAAAGAGGTGATTAATTACATTCTTCTCTCCTTCAATAGCTTCATTGAGGGCTTGTCTTTCAACCAACAGCATGGGAATTTGTTGATCGATTTTCATGTTCATCCCTTCATAGTAGTCTCTGATAGAATGGTAAAGGGGTTGACAGTCACCAGTGTCCATAATGGCAGTCTCCATGCATTCAAAACACAAACTCCGTCCATCCCCCAAAGAAATGTATCTTGCGTTCCATGACTTCATCCCAAAAGAAAAATATATAAGAAAATAATTGCAAGGAAATCATTCTGCTTTTAAATAATAATAATTCAGTAAAAAATACCTTTGTCAAAAAGTTTACCAAGGAAAATATGCTAAGAAGGAAAACAATTAAATCACTGTAATTACTGGGTGGGCATTTGGAATCTAAGCTCAGTGAAATTCATTCATCTTAGTTTTCCCTAGATTGCAAACTAATAAGTTCATCATGCAAAACTGATCTACCATATGAAATTTAACAAAGAGAGAAGAGAAAAAAATTAAGCCATTTCAATCCCTAATATGTCCTTGCCTCTGTTTCAATTATATTCACTGGAAAGGACACATTTTTTTGTTAAGTATTGTAATGGATAGATTTTACAGACTCAATTTACTCTTTTATTTTTCAGAACCTATATTAAAAGGATTTTATTTGACTATGCCTCATTAACAAATATTCATCATACCTCCAACCGTTCACAACTACAGCAACGGACTGTATTATCGTACTCATGTGAAGGACAATATTTTTGGCACCAAAATGGATGAGATCTATATTCAATCAAACCAGCACCATTTGTTGGAATCTGAAAAGATAGGATAAATCATAAGAACTCTGACCTCAAGGTAATACCAATTCCAAAATCAGTTCTTCATAATGACACAAAAGCATATTCCACAAATATGTTAGCATGGCTTGGATTTGTTATTAGAAAGCTATTGTCAGATGTGCTGTTTACTACCATGTAACATTTACAACTAATACCAATATACAGTGCAATATGTAATAACATGTTACATTCTGAAATTTACAACTAAATGCCCAGTAGTAAGAGATGGATCTGAAAAAGGAATCAAATTGTTGGACTCCCAAGATTGAAAAGATCCAAAAGTTTGGAGCATCTCTGGAAAAATATGCATTACAACAATCATAAACTTATAATACACATCTATAATATATAATTACGTGTTTTTAGCATGGTGAGGTAATGACTAATTGAGTAGTTGGTGTTCTAAATAGAAGATATCAAGACAATCTCGTATGGAAGTCAATATAAACTGCAAATGTGCAATAAAAGAATGATAAATAACTTTTAGTTTACAATCTTTGTTTAGAAAATATAGAAAAGAAATATAACCTTTTTTAAAGAAAGAGTATAAAACCTAAATATTCAATGTGACCCTTGTTTGTGGCAATTCTCCACCCTCCTCTCTTTTTGTATGTGTAATTTCTATTTGCATACAACCAATGTACCATCACAAATTCTTAAAGCAACAAGTATGCATATAACAAAATTAAAGCATATATTATACTACGTTAAATAATTATGGATAAAAATAAACAAATAAAACTATACAATAACTTTATAGTGTGTAAAAAAAATAAATTCCACAACTTCCTTCTCTTATTATATGATTTATTTCCATTTACTTACAATTAACCAACCATGTATCATACCATAAATGTTTAAAGAAACTAGCATGCACATAACAAAATTGAAGCAGATATGGTACTATGTTATGGATAAAGAAACAAATAAAGCTATAAAATAAAATTATGGCTGACTAAGTAAACCAATCCTCCAAAGTGATCACATTGTGAATATTAACTGACAAGTCAGTGAAGTATTGGCCTCAATTGACTAGTCAGTCAACTCAAGTTATCATTGCTTGGTGCATGGTAAAATCTCAATCTAAAAAGCATGAGAACATGGGTTCAAGTCCAAGAGCAGCCACTTTGTACAAAAAACATGCCAAAGGTTAGGTCCATATCCAGTCTACTCCCAACACCCATGATAGCTGAGATCATTGTTTGGATATGGCCCTTAATTCCAGTACATTACTTAGAAAGAGATTAATCACAATATATGAAACAAGCAAACATCTTCTGTATACTAGAGATTCACAGTGCTATAACTCCAATACTGATGTTACTATTGCTTGGTGCTATAGTAAAATCTCAGGCTGACGAGTGTGAGAATGTAAGAGCAGCCACTTTGTGCCAAAAAAAAAAAGGCAAAAAGTTAGGTTCGTATCCAGTCTACCCTTCCCAACACCGAGGATAGTTGATAATCATTGGATAATGGCCCTTGGTTCTAGTGCTTCAGCAGAATGTGGTGGAAGTGTTGTTCTCCTCTCCCAGTCCTTCAAGAGGGAAGAGCCTCCCCCATCAAAGAGAGGAGAAGGAAGTGACTTTATATTTTGATGGAAGTGCTTCTGGAAACCCGGGAATAGCAGGAATTGGTGGTTTGTTTAAGAGAAGGGATGGTCACCCTATATGGGTCTTTAGTGGACCAACTGAGGTTGCAGACTACACAACAGCAGAAATTTTAGCTGCTTTAACGGGGTTCCGTATCACGAGATATCTAGGCTTCACTGATCTAACAATCAAAGGAGACTCCAGCAAAATCCTTAGGGGAGAGGGAAAGAGGACCTTGGAGATTGGTCCACTATTTAAACGAGGCTAGAGATCTGTTAAAATCCTTATCTGTAAACTTTTGCTGGATTCCTAGGGAATTAAACCCTGTAGCTGATAGTTTGGCTAAATCTGGTACACACAGGGATTTTTTGTACAGTGATAGGAATATGCCTTTGTAACCTGTGTGTAGCCTGATTGTACATCATCTCCATGGTTTCCAATGTCGCCTAACATATGTCGATGTCGAGGCTCACCGACATGAAAATGGATGGCAATATAAAAATTACATTATGTCGGTCGACATTTCCTATATTTCGGAAATGTTGACCAAATCGGCCAAATAACCAAAACAAATACAGTTTTTCCTATTATGTCAACAAGATGTCGACTAATGTACATTAAAAATATAATATATTAGTATATTATATTAATATAATACAGTATATTAATATTGATTATTCCATTAATAATTTCTATTTAATATTTCAAATAAAATATTTATAAAAAGAATTAACAAAATATAAAAACAAAAGAATAAATTAATTACTTTATAATATAAAACATAAAATATTTTTCAAGTAATAAAATATTAACTAGTTAGTATTTTTTAAAATATTTATTAAAATCAGAAAATGTTATTAAATTTTATAATAAACCATATTCTACATTTAATATAAAAAATCAGAATAAATTTAATAAATTTTATACTAAATCATAATTTATTATAAATTGAGTATTAAAAATCATAATAAATTCATTAAGTTTTATAAGAAATCAGAATTTATCATAATCTTAATACTACAAAAAGGAGAATCAGTTTATTAAATTTATAATAAAACATAATGTATTATAACTTTAATATTTAAAAAATCAGAATAAATGTATTTCTATTTACTAGTGTGAAATAAATATATTAGAATTTACAATAAATCAGAATTAAAAATAAGAAAAGAAAATATCAGATAACCTTGTAAAACATCAAAATGCATAACAAATCAGTAAATCGTCATTTACTATTTTGTTATTGATCTTAGTTTCTTAGCTTTATATAATGGTTGGGAATAAGATAATAGTCTAGAAATATGTATTAATGCTTCTTTTATCATTTTACAAAATATATTTGCATATTTCCAGATATTTCATAATATTTCCACAATGTCTCTAATTTTTACAATATTTCCCCTCGACATTTCCGACATATGTCCTATATTTTGGTAAGCAACATTTCCATCGACATCAACATTTTAAACCTTGATCATCTCATGTACTCTCTGTTTTCTTAATCAAGTTAACCTCATTTCTCAAAAAAAAAAATAAAAATAAAAAATACTTCTATTCATTAAAACCAACACCTGAAAGTTAAATAGGCATAAGTCCCAAGAAACTGTAAAGTTCTTTCAATGCTTTACCATCATACAATTGATTGCCCTTTGCTTGCCGTATGCATCATTGCATGTGCAGTCCACTTGTGTCCTGGTTTATGTTTAATTACTTATACTGTATGTATGTGTTTTGGTTGGATTGCATCAAGGGCATAAATGTAATTACCATTTACATTCTAGTCAATTGTTAAATATAATTAAATAATTGCACTTGTATCTGAGTTGTCATTGGCATAAGAGAGGAGGAGAGATGAGAGTGGTTTCCTTTTTGAATCATGAATACACAATTTGTAAATTTTTTAAGCATTTTCCCAGACTCATTTGATTGATGTGTTTTTTTCCTGAAAAGTCGATCAGTGGTTTGAACATGGAACATAAGGATGGTGTAATGGTCTGGGTACCATTGTTCATATAATTTCCATGAATTATTCTGCTTTTCTTTCATCATCATAAATGCATTTTTGTTTACTACAGATCTTCTTTTTCTGCTTAGGAGGAACAGTGAAATTGATAGAAAAACAATTACATAAAAGGCATGCATACTAGAATCTATGAAAGTTGGGTTTAGGGGTAGAGATTTCTTCCATCCCATTTCATAAGTAACCATAAGAATTGGAGTTTTACTTACAAATTGATAGCAGACTTCACACTTGGGATGATGCAATTCTTTGAAACAAGACTTGTGGTATGGATTCCTTCCTGACAAAGAAAACTTGATTTGGAAAAAGAAAATGTAAGAGAAAGATATCATGAATGTTTAGTATTTTATCTTCTATAGTATAAAAGCCTTATTGATGTAACGAAAAAGGCAGGATAATTCGAGAATCCATAGTTCCTGAAAAGAAACAAAATCATAAAGACAAAAAGGGTGCCAAAACCCAATGATTAATAAAGTACCTCATGCTCAGTAATTGGATAATTACATGCATGACAGCGAAAGCATTCCGGGTGCCAAAAATTTTGCATACATCCTAAATATTTCCCAAAGCCTATTTCATGGTTGCAGCCACCACAATATCTGACAGGTAAATGTGAATGCATACTGCCATGAACAATCAAAACAAATGTCAGGATTTTTTTTTGGCAGAAAAGTCAATTCATTAAGAGAAGTAACACAAACTGAAGACAACAACCAACAAGACACAAGACAAAAGCTACACTACAAACACGACCCAACAACAACAGCAACATCACACAAGAAGACCCACTACAAGAACCAACAGCTACACATTCAAACTAACCAACCTATCCTTAACTAAATGATCAAAAATCTACTCCGGTGGATGAACACGTTATTCCTCATTACAAGAACAACCGTGTTCGGCTGCTACATGAGCTGCTTCATTTATGGATCTCAAAGGAGAACTTTAATTCCACACCCATACTAGAATGTAAAAGGTCTTGAATAAAAAAGATAGAGTCCTTTGGCCACTCAGCAGTGCACTTTGAAAGGCCAGCAATTAATTGGAGACAATCAGCTTCAAGCACAATCTTAGAAAAACCACATCCCTTAGCAACAAGAATACCCTCCAAAGCTTCCACCACTTCTGCTAGTTATAAGATTGTGGCATAGGTGAATCAACAGTGACACTTGATGAAGCATGAAACTTATTGACTATTTCTATTATAGAAAGTAATTTACTAATATTATCCTAATATAAAAGGGCAGCCCAGTGCACAAGGCTCCCACCAATGTGGGGTCTGGTGAGGGGCAGATGTATGCAGCCTTACCCCTGCACATACAGAGAGGCTGTTTCCATGATTTGAACCCTGGTCACCCAGATCACAATGGAGCAACCCAACCGCTGCACCAAATATGTATATCTGTATTCTTTTTCTTTTTTATAAACTGTATCTAGAAGATAAGACATCTAAAAGTTTACCATACCACAGTAAACATAGCCATAAAAGAACTCATTCTTATATCTCCTAGGAATTTAAAAAATTAAAAAAAAAAGGGAAAGAAAAAGACATTACTCCACCAGGTCATTGCTGATCTAGGCAATCGACCAACTCATGCAAAAAACTGTGAGAACCGGGATGCACCAGAGATAAACTTGTACATGTAGAAAATGCAGATAACCTATTGGAAGGCTTGAAAAGTATCTCAATTAGACCAAACCACAAGTTGGCTGCAATGGTTTTTTAAATATGTTACTAATGCTAGACAAGACCTCTGAAATGTTGACTGTGTGCCTAGGAAATGTATTAATTAATCCTGAATTGACTCTATATTTTATAAGTATGATAAAAAATATAAGGGACAAAATGAGAAAGGTTTGATGAAACTAACCTATATCCTCCAGGGAAAAATTGTGGAGGAGCATATGGAGGATATGAAGGCATATTCAAACTATCTTGGAGTGCTCTAGCTAGATCTTCATCATTGTTTGTGCGTCTTCTGTATCCTGAAGAAATCATATATCCATTATAATGTTATGACAAGAAAAAAGAAAATAAGAGAAGGAATATGAGCAACAGAGAACATGAGAGGGAGAGAGCAAAACTCATATTTGAAGTCAATAACTTCATTAATAAAGTTTCACCTTTGGGAAATGGGGACTTACCATTTGGTCTTTTCAAGTCTTCAGCAAGAGAAAGTGCAACTGCACGGTCCAGTTCCTCATGTTCAGATCTGGAATGTTCATCCTGTAAGCTTATACAGAATCGAGTCATATTATTTGAAAACAAGTGACTCCAATAAGAGAGAGAGAGAGAGCAGTAAGTTATTTTCAACAGTGACAAAGTAGTTATTCTCAAGGAACCATTCAACCTAAAAGCTTAAGCTGTTAGGTGAGGTCCCTGAATAGGTTTTTATTCTCTAACATGCTTCCTCATGCTGGGGCTTGAAGCGTGAACAAGCACAGGCCCACCCTTACCTTGTGATGAAATTTTAATTAATTATAATGGGGGTGACAAGGATCAAACACTAGACCACTTGGTCAAACAGGCTCTGGTACCATCTCAAGGCTGTTAGATGAGGTCCCTGAATAGGTTTTTATTCTCTAACCATTTATACACAGAATGTAGGATCCATTTATACATAAATCATATTTTTTTAGGAGTCTTTATGAAGCATAGATGTATCATTTCTCCACACCACTTAGATTGAAATACTGTATGGAAAAAGTTATTTTGGACCTAATGAAAAGGGAAAAAAGAAAAAGATCAAATAAAAAATGCAAGATTTTCAAGTCCATAAGGTAGAAAGGATCTGACTAAATCTTTTCTCTTTATCTTGAAAAACAGTGTAATGAATACCCGTTGTCATTATTTTTTTCCTTCAAAAATATTTTTTTTGATAAGTTTTTTTTCCTTCAAAAATATTACCCATTTCCCTTCTCATTGTCATCATCACCATTGTTATAGAAATAATAACAAATAAAAATGAAATGATGGAGCAACATAAAATTCAAAAATCATGTGAAATTACCATGGATCTATTTGGATTATGAAAAGCCATGTTTTCCTCACCGAGGAACCGTGGAGGTCGTCCATTCAGTGACCCTTGTTTTGAGCCCACCTTAAATATCTTACTAATCCACTTCATGAGGCGAGACTTCTTCTCAACGTATGAAGAGACAAAATGCCCTGTTTTGAATGATCAAAGTTCAGAAAGCCATAGAAGAAAAGAAAATGGAGAGAAACATAATCTGTTGCCACTCTTGGAATAAAAAGTACTGATTAATTGCCAAACAATATCAATTACGTCCCTACCACAACTAACTTAGCCAACTCTGGACTTTAAGTTTCAAAAACATAACAATCTGAATCAATGAACTTTGTTCAAACTGAGAGAATAAAAGTATAAACCTCGCTTTCAGTACTGTTATCGTCCTAAACTCATTGACAACAACAACAACAACAATAAACTTCCACGAAACAACATTACTGATGCGTTTTGCCAAACATGTTAAAGGTGCAAATACAATCAATCAAATAAAGAAATGACCATAAATAAAGGAAGAGAAACAACACTAAGACCAATGATGAAGACGAGAAAAAAAAGAAGCATACCATGGACGCAGGGTTGAGCGAGATGGTTCACCCCTGAAGAAGCCATGAAAATTGAAGCCCAAGTATCGGATTGGTAGAAACCTCGACCGTACAATAAGGGAATTAAGAAGAAGAAGAAGAAGAAGAAGAAGAAGAAGAAGAAGAAGAAGAACAGGAACAAGAAGTTGGTAAATAATAGAATGTAGAGCTAAGGAACAAGGCATCGTTAAAAGCAATATAGGTAGAGAAAGAGATAGAAAAAGAGAATCTCTGAGAGAGAAAGAAAGAGCTGGATAGAGTGAGAAACAGATTCTTGTCTTCGAAATCAATGAAGAAGAAAGTTGGGCGATCGCCAAAAGATGGTTTTTAAGGGAATCTGCTGATCGGGAAGACATTAAAGAATGAAAAGAAAACTAGCAGAAAAAGGGAAAAAGGATGGGGTGGACGATTGAGAAGCTGCGGGAGTCGCACGCATGGCAAAGCCGAAAGGAATGTTAACGTTCTCTCTCTCTGTTTTCTTTTTCTTTTTTTTTTTTTTTTTGAATTTTGATTCTCAAGGTCTTTTCCCGGGAGGCAGGGAACTTGGATAATACCCGTTTAATTCAAGGAATATTACTAGTTTACCACCCATTACCATTTATGAATCCAATTGAACATTTTATCACTTTATCAGTGGATTATGGATTTGGACCCACCCGTTCAATTCAAAACTCCGACCCGCCTGCTTGGGATGCCTCGGCCAACCATATAACTAAACTTCAGTTAAAAAAAAAAAAGAAAAAATTGTGAAATTTTATGATTTTAAGTTAAATTTCATTTTTATTTGATAGAATCAACTATGGTGCAAAATGGTTCGACATGTGTAGAGTAATTTTATTCCATAAAGTGCATGGAGTTCTATATATTTTCTCCCTCATTATTTTTATTATAAATTAATTAAAGGGATAGTAATATAAATGGGTATTTTGTGAGAAAAGGACAAGTTCGTCCAAAATTATTTCTAAGCTTTCCACTTATATATTTTTAACTTTGAATTGTGTTACCATCATAGTGATCGCACCCTTACCATCAAGGGTCGGTGATACGATATTTGATTCTTTCTTTGTAAAATTGGACATGACAGAATAGATGCCCCCTATAAAGAATAGTTGATTAAAATATTTTGATATTGATATTTAAAATTAATTAATAGTCAAGTTTCAAAATATTAATTTTTGTTAGAAAAAAATATTGGCTTTTATGTGATCTTCTAAGATGTTTTTTCAGGCTCAGTTTGAAAGGAGTGCAAATAACAAATACATGCTAAATAATACAAAATGTAAGGTTTTGCACTCTAGGCTCAGTTTGGAAGTAGTATAAATGCAAATATGGAGAGTGCAAAACATTATATTTTATATTATTTTATATGTATTTGCACTGTATATATTTACATTTATGCTCTTTCCAAACTTAGACCTATGTATTTGTATTCTTTTCAAACTGAGCCTTATTGATTCCGTGTATAATTGGGGTAAGGCTTTGATGATGATGGGGTTAAATGAAAATTTCCTCACCAATTACCTCATAAATTATTGAAGGGGCAAAGTTCTCATTAATAGGAATGGCAACGGAGCAGGGCAGGGACAGGGAGCCTCTCTCCATCCCCTTCCCCATGAAAATCCCCATCCTCGTCCCCGCTAACGGGGACAAGGTTATCCCCATCCCCATCCCCACGGAGATCCCTATCCCGCGGGGATCCCCATTCCCCATGATTCTTTATAATGTTAACCATATTGTTTTTGTTTTTTATTTTATTTAAGAAAATAAAAATAAAATAATTAACATTTACAATCGTATTAGAAAATACTCAACCATATTTTTAAAAATATTAATATATAGATGTATGTTTACATATTTACATATATAACGTATGCATACATATATACATATATATTAGTGGGGATCCCACAAAGCGGGGATCGGGGTCCCCGTGGGGTGGGGAGTGCTCTCCCCATCCCCGCCCCGTCCCCGCTAACGAGGATGAAAATTTTCTCATCCCCGTCCCCGTGGGGGGAAAATCATCTCCATCCTTGCCCCATTCGGGGCGGATCCCCACGGGGATCGGGGAAATGGGGAAAATTGCCATCCCTAATCATTAACGCAAATAGAGATCTTTATTCTTTTCATTTTTCTTGGGTAGCTATCAAATAAAGACTTTTTAGAACTTAGGTGGCATTTGGTAAAATTGAACTGTATGTTTGAGAGAGAGAGAGAATCTGACAGTGGTTGTAGACTCAAGGCCTCATTATTTTAATTCTTGCTCGTTCTGGATAAGAATGAGCAAGAATGAATAGCATTAGAGTTTTTTGTTACAAAATTCTTGTCATGGGCCACATTCTTTTTAGAATGTACTTTTATGAAAGCACTTTTACAAAAAAAATAAAAGTATTTTTACGAAAGCACTTTTATAAAAGTGAGAGAATTCATTTTTACAAAAGCACTTTTGGAGCTGGCAGTTTATGTATACCAGCATGGTTATTTTTTTTTTAATGAAGAATGAAAATGAGCAACATAAGACATTTGTCAGTCTGAAAAAAAAAATCATTTTTAGGAAAAAAGTGTTTGGTTCATATCAATATTTTCTCATTCTGCCTATTTTTACTCATCCTTGTCCATTTTAGGGTTTCATGGGTAAGAATGAGAATTGAACCAAATATGGCCTAAATAACCAAACTTTTCCTTTGTTTTTTTTTTGTCCTTAGAATGCAGTTTAACTTTTTGAATATATGAATGTAATAACATCTGTAAAGAGATTGTTTTATGTATTTACTTCCATAAATTTACGAGTTTATTATGAGGAGAAAAAAGAAGAAAAATAGAAAAAAAAAACAATTTATTAATAACATCAGTTCCATAAAATAAAGAGAAACAAAAAAGAGAACACATTATGCATTGACAAATGATAATGAAGTGTAAAACCCAATTCAGGATATATATATATATGTACTCTGGTTCAGTTTTATTGGTGTTCGGCAAGAATACAATTATGCATTGACAAATGACAGAGAACACATTTTCCAATGCATATTTACATTCAAAATGAGATGTAAACGTACATGATAAAAAAGACGTAAATTTGCATTCAATGTGGGCTTTTGATAAAAAAGACATATATTTTATTGAGATTCATGTTTACATCCATTACAGCTAAAAGTTTATTTGGTAAGAAATTAAGTAAATTTGCCAATGCAAAACTAACCCAACTTTACATAGTTCTCTGTATATTTGCATTGTTCCAAAAAGGAGCCTAAAGAGTAAAAGACGGGGGAAGTGTGTGAGGAATGTTGTTTGTAAGGGATAGGAATAAATACATTTCAATTAAGTTTATTTGCTTACTCCATTGAAGTTTCACACCAAACCGTTCGAAATTTTCTGAACTATTAAAAAATGTGAGCATCAAAAAAGGTGATCATTGAAGTAGTATATTGATATTAACTTTTACATTGATTTACTATATAAATCTTATCTACAAAATTGAACCGACAGTAACGTTTTTACATTGCAAACAAACGCAGTCTTAGGGAATTAATAAAACAATTGTGAGGGGGAATGGACTATAAAAAGGCATATAATGGGATAATTTGAGGGGTGGATGGACGTCTAAACCGCTGAGGAATCTTTAAAATCAAAAGTCCAGATTCAGATGTTGCATATCATCATCATCTTACCTCGTTAAGGGGTGGATGCATGGACGTCTAAACCGCACCGAGTAATCTTTAAAATCAAGAGTCCAGATTCAGATATTGTATCTAGTTTGGGACATCTGAAAAGCCATCTTTTCATACCTCACATCCATTTGTGAACCCTCATCAGTCTAATCGTCAATATGGCAAAACGTTGTTGTAGTATCAGTAGTTTGTTTATTTGAGACAAGTTGGATACTGGAAACCAAATAGCAGCTTGATTGATGTTTCTAACCATCAAATACGTAGATTGTTTTCCAAAGAAAATATAATCATTGATTCTTGACCCTTCAGAAAAATGATTTACCCTATGTAATTGGATAGATCGACTTTTTGTGTCAAAAATCATGGTGGTTTTTAAAACCGAATCGGTCAGGGCACCGTTTTCCGGTTCAGCGGTTCAATCGTTCGGGTTGAGTGGTTTGATCTGTGACATCATAAATAAATAAAAAAAACAAAAAATACTTATATATAATAAAAAAATAACATAGAAATTTAAATAAAATACAAAAAATATAGGAAAAAGAACAACATATGAAAAAAATAAAAATATCTTAATATAAATATAATAAAATACAAAAAAAAATACAGAAAAAATTCCAAAAAATATAGAAAATTTTCCAAAAATTATAGAAAAAAATATGTAAGCAAGAATATGTAATGAGCACCTGTTTTTTTAGAAGAAAAAAGCATATCAGTTCAAAAAAAAATTATATGAACATATTTTGAGAAGAAAACATAAACTTCATATCAAAACATATTTTGTGAAGAAAAAAAAGAAAGAAAATTGATTGGTTCAGTTGAATCAAGAGCTCCCTCATCAATCAGTAAAAATAAGGATTAAGGAGTTAAGTGTCCTCAGTCATTTTCTTTCAATCTCAAGTTGTCTCTATAAATCCTACCAAAGAAAAAAATCTCTAGAAAAATTAATTCATGCTTACTAAACAAGCATATATATTACCATTCTAGTAGGTTGAAAGTATTCAAAAAATCAATTAAATCACAAAAAAAAAATCAAAAAAAAAATTATACCTTTAGGGATTTGTCACCGGTGGGCTCGGGTAGTCCGCCGCTGCTGCAAGTCGTCGTTGCTGCAAATCCGTTGCTACAAGTCATTCGCCGTTTGCTACTGCAAGTCGCCACTACTGCAATTCGTTCGCCGTCCGCCGCTGCAAGTGTTTGGGTACTCTTCGCCACTGCAAGTGCTTGGGTACTCTTCGCCTCACCGGTCACTGTTGGTATGTGTTGTTGTCAGATGCCGGAGTTGATGGCTGCCGCAGATGGTAGGGTGTGAGGGTTGAGACTTGAGAGGACTGAGGAGTGAGGAGGGAATTTGGGAACCCTAAAGGCTAAACTGAATAAGGGACTGGGGATTGGGATTCAAAATCGTGGGATATAATTGGCATTTTATTTTTTGTTTTTTTATTTAAAGCATTAAAAATAAAAATATTAACCCGTGAACCGCTGTCCGGGTCGAATGGTTTAGCGGTCCGATTGCCCGGGTCAACAGTTTTTTTGACTTTTCAACATTTTTTTCAATTTTTCAGTTTTTAGTAAAACCAAACTCGGATGGCTGACCGGTTACCGGTTTTTCCGGTCCGATCCGGTTTTAAAAACCATGTCAAAAATAGTTTGGTGTTTACAATCTTATCAACTTGGATTAATTAGGGAAGATGTTTACAGATTTTTCAAATATTATAATTGCTAGTATCTAAATTTATTAGTCCAAGGATCATCTAATAGGTGAGAGAACTT